TATTTAGAATGTGTCTAGACTCTTCATAATATGCCAGTTTGTTCTTTTCATATCATGATGTGATAGCAATTCTTGTATATGCATGTGTAACATATATGTAACGTTATGTGATAGTTTGAGTATAGCTAGCATACACTATGGAAGGTAGCCTGCCCTATTAAAACCCAGCTCCGGAGTGTGTGTGGCTGGGCTCTCACGATGGGGAGTTGTGGAATGTCAGGTCACTCGCGGTAGAATTACACTATAAATTTGAGAATTCATGCCAGTAGAATAGGATGGAATGTGGTTTCATTTTCCCTTCCCACCAGGATCTTGCCCAATTTGGCAACCGGATGCTAAATTAGGGTGGGATTAGTTGAGGGAAGTGGTCCCCTGTGTCGCTGCATGTCCAATGGAATGTTACAGAAAGCATAGTGGTTATCTGTTACCGAGAGATTGGGAAGGGACAGAGAGCGTCTCTCCCCATGGGCATCAGAAACACCTTCCTGTCTTTTTGTTCCTTTATCCCTAACTATCCTTGTGCTAGGAAAACCATACACATGGAATTACCCCTCCTTCTGCTTCTGTTTTCCACCAACAGTACAAGCAGAGTGGTGGTATCTTGTAGGGGAAATGCCCGGGAGACTAGGGGAATAGAGAACTTACCTGATTGTAGGCTGCTCTGTGCCTCTCATTAGCCTGACCCCATAGCACATCCCACAGTTTCTTGGGACCTCAGTTTCTCCAAAAACATGACCTGGTGGTAGTAGCTTGCCTCTTTCCTGCCAAGGAGCTGACTTATATGTGCATGTGTCCTACAGGGAGAAGTGACTGGTATCCTTTCCTGCCTTGTCCTGCCACTCCAGAGCTCTGTTTGTTTGAACAAATCACTACAGATTTGGTGGCATAAAACAGCAGAGATGACTTCCCTCACTGTTCCCCAAGCCAGTTGTTACCAGTTATGTGTGCTTTCCCCAATCCTCAGGTGGAGACCCCTTTTGTGTTTCTTTAGCATCTGATGGTTTCAGGTTCCCGTGGCTTTGACCACATCCCTGTACTCTTTGCTTAGGTGGTTACATTGCCTTTTCCTCAGGGCTGTGTCTTCTCTGCTTCATTGGACCCCAGCCCTTATGTCTTTGCCTTGTTCGGTGTTTATAAACAGGAGAAAACCCTTCTCTCTGGGTGCTGGGTGCAGTGGATCTGAGCTCATGTACTCTGAGGTCAGAACCACCGCCCTCTAGTCAGCAGCTGTCAGTCATCACCCAGACCCGCCTCCTCTCATGTCTGTCTTATTCTTGCTTTGCCCCTGTCTGCAGCTGGATCACCCCACATCACCTCTACCCTTGCTTTGGTTCTCCTGACGTAGCTTCCCTAAATCAGTTTGTCAATGCCAGCTGAGGTCTGCTGATGACTTCAGGGGGACAAACCCCTAGCTCTTCTGCTTGACTCCTGCTTTTATTCTATCCTGCTCGAGTTACTTCCAGAACCTTCAGGAGCCAATGTGAGCTATAAAAATGGTCTGAGAAACTCCACAGTTTGTTAAATGAAAGTGGCCTTGATTATACATCAGTGGCTTCACAGTGACTGATTACCTGAGGCTAGAGCCCCACTTAAGAGCTAAGCCCTGCATTTCAGTGACCACAGGGACAGCTGGAGTACTTCCTCGTGATTGTCAGTCAGGTTATTGACCAGTCCTCACAGCTACCTTGTGAGGCAGGCTTAGTGCCATCACTCATGGGTGGCATCACACATGACACCATGTGGCATCCTGGGAGTCAGCCTTATCAAGTTTGTTCCAGATAATCCTTAGACTGCTTCACCACTTAGGTGACCTTTGAACTGGCAAAATCCAAGGTCCGTCAAAACAAAAATGAATGAAGGCCATCTGTGGGCATCTTGGCACTGCATAGGTAAGTCCATGGCTTGTTGAAAAGAATCCACGTTCTGTAGAAAGCCCTAGATTTTCTCCAAGGATAGGAAAGATGTTTGAGGAAGATGCTTTGGAAGGGCATGTCTGCTGGGAGGAGAGCAAGTGCCAGAGCTTGTATGTTCTGAGACCTGGTTATGTCTGAATCTAGTACAGTGACTGGGGACTAGCCACACGGTGTTTCTGAACCTCCGTTTCCCTTCCACAAAAGGATACAAGACTCATACTGTGGGGACTGGAGAGATGGCTCAGCAGATAAGAGTACTGGCTGCTCTTCCAGAGGTCCTGAGTTCAATTCCCAGCAACCACATGGTGGCTCACAACCATCTATAATGAGAGCTGGTGCCCTCTTCTAACCTGCAGGCATACACGCACAGCACTCAGACCTAAATAAGTAAAACAAAATTTAAAAACAGACTCGGGTTGTACAAACAATTAGAGTTCAGTAGATGCTTATGAGTCCCAGCTCTGCTGGGACACCCTTGTTTCCCCTGCCTTCTCAAGCCTCCCACTCCCTCCGTCCAGCCAAGGCAGCCAGTCCGTCCTAGGAGCCTTCTCAGCATGTATTGACTGACAGCAATATTTTGCTGTGGTTAGGCCACTCGTATGGACCTGGGTGCTTTCCTCTCTGTCGTCAGGGCCTGATGTGGTTAGCTTGCTAGCTGGATACACTCTGAGATCCTCTGGGGAAAAAGTCTCAGTGAAGAGTTGTAGGATCAGCTTGGCCTGTGGGCATGTCCAGGGAGGGTTTTCCTTTTCAAATTCATCTATTTATTTTACATCCTAGAGGCAGCCTCCTCTCTTATCCTGTCCTCCCAGTCCCTCCCTCCTATACCGCAATCTCCTTCTCTTCCATCTCTACCCAGAAAAAGGCAGGTCTCTTATGAGTATCAATAAAACATGACATATCAACTTACAATATAGACTAAGCACCTCCCCATGTATTAAGGCTGAGCAAGTATAAGTAGGGTCCAAGAGGCCAGTAAAAGAGTGGAGACAGCCCCTGTCCGTGACATTAGGAGTCCCACAAGAGGACCAAGCTACACACCTGTAACATATATGCAGAGGGCCTAGGTCAGTCTCATGTGGGCTCCCTGGCTGTCGGTTCAGTCTCTGCAAGCCGCTAGGAGGCCCGGTTAGTTGATTGTGTGAGCTTTCTCTTGATGTCCTTGACCCCAAGGAGGGTTTTCCTGATTACCTTAGCTGAAATGGGACGACCCAGCCCACTGTGGAGGACGCTGTACCTGAGTTTGGGCCCCTGGGCTGTAGAAGGATAGGGAAAGTGAGCTTGGTAGAGCACACGTGCCTGCATTAATTCTCTTTTCTCCACTCTGGAGCGTCGATGCGATGTGATAGTTGCTTCCCATTCCTGCTGATATGATCCCTGTAATAATGCCCCTGGAGTTTGACCTAAAGCAAGCCTATTCTCCCCTAAATTGCTTCCGGTCAGGTGTTTTATCACAGCAGCAGGGAATGAAGGGGGAGACTGCCTGATTCTGAGCCAGGTATACAGCTGGTGCTCAGAACGTGTCTGTGTTGGGGGAAAACATAGCTGTCTCTTCCGTGGAAAGAAGAGAGAGTTTATTCTGGAGGCAAATGTAAGTGGCCATGGTCCAGAAAAACAGATTCAGGTTATCCCAAACACCATGTTCAAACATATGTCTTTTTATATATATATATATATATATAGTAACAGGGGGGAAAAACAAGGTAAATTTAAAATGCATTGGTGGGAGCATCAGTAGGTGGGTTACAGCCACGTCTCTGCTATAATAAAGCCTAAGGTGGAAGCTAAAAAGGATTTGCCCCAAGGATGTGAGGTCAAATCCAAAGGCGAGCAAGAATGTCTATTAAGGGGACTAATAGGGAACCCAAGGTAATTTGGGGTCTGGCATTGCAACATTCCAGCTCTCTATAATCACAGAAGTTCAAGTCCGTCTGTCAGCCTTGCAGAACCTTTAACACGTGTGCAGCAGTTTTTCTTGGAACTTCAGTTCATGTCTGCATAACAGAGGAACCTCTCTGGAGCGACTTTTAGCTCGGCGCCTAGCATGGCCCTTCTCTGGAAAGACCAGCTCAACAAAGGGTGGAATTGCTCTGGCTGGGGCTTGCACGCTGCGATGTTTCCCACTTCTGGTGTGTATGGGAGCAGGAAAATGGTCATGACTGCTTGCTAACATGTTCTCAATGCCAAACTTCCCTGTGCACAGACAACCTCACTTACAGCCTAGAAGGCACTGGGACCATTCTCTTACCAAATGTACTGGTGCTGGAGGCTCGGAAACTTCCTAGTCATGCTTAGGAGGAGGTGGTAGGTGTGTGTGTGTGTGTGTGTGTGTGCATGTGTCCTGGCAGCCTGGCTCTGGGGCACAGCCTCCAGACTGTTCCGGCTATTGCTTTTCCTGCAGGGAGACGGGGCAATTTCCCTGCAGCTAATGGGAGTCCAGGTCTTCTGGTTTAGAGGGAGGCATCTGGCTGGAAGTTGAGGAGAGGGACTCCTGAAGATTCCATACCTGCTCTATGAGACCGCAGCTCACATATTAGCTATCTCCATCATGGCTGGGACAAATCGCCCATAAAAGCAACTTAATGAAAGGTTTCTTTGGCTCATGGTTTGAGGGTGCAGCCTACCATGGCAGAGAGGAGGAAACTGGCTGTATCATGGGTGTAGTCAGAAAGCAGAGCAGGATCAATACTGCTACCAGGCCTGCTTTCTGGGTTTTGTCAGCAACCCCAGACTATGGCATAGTACCATCCTTGCATAGGGTGGGTCTTCCTACTCTATCTTAATCTCGAGAAACTCTCGCAGATAAACCCAGAAGTGTGTGTCCATGGTGATTCTAAATCCAGTCAAGTTGATAGTAAAGATTAGTCATCACAGTGCTCAAAGCCAACCTGCACTGTGACTCTCCTGGCTCCTGGGCACTTTAGTTGTCTCTTAGGACTGAGTTAGTATTGATTGTGACCCAGGCTGAATTATATGCATTCTGTTTTGAATCTTAATTGTATTGTGTCTACATGGATCCAGGAGAGAAACTAACCCTGTCCCAAGCGTCTCAGGTTTCAGGTCCCTAAACATTCTCTGTCTCTGCAGGTCCCACAACGGATGGCCGTGGCAGAGGGAACCCCAGAGGACAGTGGTGGTGGCTCTCCAGGAGTTTGGGGCTCTTGGGGCCCCTGGTCTGCCTGTTCACGCAGCTGCAGTGGCGGTGTGATGGAGCAGACGCGGCCCTGTTTGCCCAGCTCCTACCGCAGTCGTGGAGGTTCGCGACCCGGTGGCCCTACGCTGTCCTTCACTGGCCATGTCGTGTCAGCCGTACGCACCTCAGTACCACTGCATCGAAATCGTGAGGAGCAACGTGCCCCGGCTGGCCCCGATGCTAGCCGCCCAGGCCCCACAGTGGTGCGAGGCAGCCGCCACCCACAGGCCCGGGGCCGAGAACCCTCAGAGAGAAGGTATGTGCACACCATGGTCCCTGTGTCTGTCCCTGCCTTGACAACAGGGGAGCCTCTACACTGATTGTGCAGAATCAGAGGAATTCTTATCACAGCCCCTTCTGTGCATAAATGTGCCTGTGGGGGCCGGTGGAGACCATAGCACAGCATCTGGTGTGATTCCTCAGACCAAGTTTACCCTTCAGGTTTTTTTGGAAAAAAAAAAAAGTCCTTTACTTACTGGAAACTCACAATTTGGCTAGGCTGACCAATCAGGAGCCTTCAGGATTCCACCGGCCTCCTCCTCCCCAGCTACACCTAGCTTTGCTCCCCCACCCCTACCTGTGTTCTTAGGGGTGGGACGTGGGTCCTCCTCCTTATGTACAATTACTTTATTGACTGAGCCACTTTCCCAGGCCCCACATAGCTTTTCACTGATTTTACAGCCTCTACAGTCCCAAGGCCACTCCTATCCCGCTCTTTGATTGTAAAATTACTTCTCAAAGTGAAGAGGTAAATGGAGGCTGCTCGTTTGTTTCCCAGCCACCCAGACCTGAATAATCACACAAAAACTTCATCAATTGCAACACTGCTTGGCCAATGACTCAGGTGTATGTCTAGCTAGCTCTTATATCTTCAGTTAACCCATTTCTATTAAACTATGTATCGCTATGAGGCTGTGACCTACTGTAAGTTTCCAGCATCTTTCTCCTTTGGCAGCTACATGGAACTCTTTGACTCTGCCTACACACACACACACACACACACACACACACACACGCACACGCGCACGCGCACACACACACACAATCTATCTGTCTGTCTGTCTATCTGTCTATCTATGTTCAAATTTCCTGCCTGGCTTTACTCTGTCAAGCCATTGGCCAAAGGAGCTTTATTCATCAACCAATAAAAAACAACACATATACAGAAGGACATCCCACATCATGGAGGAAATTCCGAGAGGCCATTAGACGTCACACTTCAGGGAGATCTGTGAAGGTGTGAAAAGAGGAGGAGACCCTGTGTGATGATTGGACACAAGCTAAAGTTACCTGAAAGGAGGAGCCACAAATGAGAAAATGCCTCCATAAGATCTGACTGTAGGGCATTTTCTTAATTAGTGATTGATGGAGGAGGGCCCATCTCATTGTGAGTGAGGCCACCCCTGGGCTGGTGGTCCTGGGTTCTATAAGAAAGCAGGCTGAGCAAGTCATGAGGAACAAGCCATTAAGAAGCACCCCTCCATAGCCTCTGCATCAGCTCCTGCCTCCAGGCTCTTTCCCTGTTTGAGCTGTGCCCTCACGGCTTTTGATGATAGACTGTCATCTGGAGCAGTGAGTGAAACTAACCCTTTCCTTCCCAAGTTGCTTTGGGTTGTGGTGTTTCACCATAGTAATAGTAATCCTAGTTAAGATACGTGGGTCCCAAGATGGCACCACTGTGCTGGGAAGAGGTGGGGGCCAGAAACCACTAGTCACAGGCTGTGTGGAGTTAACTAGAGGACAAAAGGCAGAGACTTGCTCAACAATGAGGTCTCCTAAACAGACCTAGATAATCACAATACCAAGTGACATACCCATAGGGATGGAGGAATCTCACCTACATGAAGAGCTATAAACAATTAATGACTCCGTTGAGAGGGAAGAATCAGAGACTGCCTGATAGACTATCCAGTCCTACGAGGTCAGCCCTAAATACATATGAACAATACATATGGACTCAGTGGGAGATATACATACATACATACATACATACATACACACATACACACATACACACATACATACACACATACACACATACATACATACATACACATATATAAACAAGAATAAGGAAGAGATCACGGATTTCAGAGGGAGTCTGGGGACGCAGAACACAGGAAGAATTGGAAAGGAAAGATGGAGGGGTACAAATGATGAAAGCACAGTACTCATGTATGAAATTCTCAAAGAAATTAAAAGAACAGGTGTATGAAGAACTGATGTGTGCTGCCAGTCTTTGGACGGGTTACATGTTTGGAGTCTTAGCTATCCCCCAGCTGTGATTACGGAATCCTGGATTAGTAAATATTTTTTCTAGGAAGTTTCTAGGACGTATTTTCTTTTTTTTTTTTTCTTTTTCTTTTTTTTTTAATTAATTTATTTATTTATTAAACATTTCTGTCTCTTCCCCACCGCTGCCTCCCCTTTCCCTCCCCCTCCCCCAATCAAGTCCCCCTCCCTCGTCAGCCCAAAAAGCAATCAGGGTTCTCTGCCCTGTGGGAAGTCCAAGGACCACCCACCTCCATCCAGGTCTAGTAAGGTGAGCATCCACGAAACTGCCTAGGCTCCCACAAAACCACTAGGTCCAGTAGAATCAAAAACCCGTTGCCATTGTTCTTGAGGTCTCAGTAGTCCTCCTTGTCCGCTATGTTCAGCGAGACCAGTTTTGACCCAGGCTTTTTCAGACCCAGGCCAGCTGGCCTTGGTGAGTTCCCGATCCCCATTGTCTCAGTGTATGGGTGCACCCCTCCCAGTCCTAAGTTCCTTGCTTGTGCTCTCTCTCCTTCTGCTCCTGATTTGGACCTTGAGATTTCAGTCCGGTGCTCCAATGTGGTTCTCTGTCTCTGTCTCCTTTCATCGCCTGATGAAGTTTAATATTCAGGAGAAATATTCAGGATTTTCTTTGGGTTCTCCTTCTTATTTAGCTTCTCTAAGAACCCAACTTATAGGTTCAATGTCCTTTATTTATGGCTAGAAACCAAATATGAGTGAGAACATTCCATGTTCCTCTTTTTGGGTCTGGCTTACCTCACTCAGGATGGTGTTTTCTATTTCCATCCATTTGCCTGCAAACTTCAAGAAGTCCTTGTTTTTTACTGCTGAGTAGTACTCTAATATGTATATATTCCATACTTTCTTCATCCATTCTTCAATTGAAGGGCATCTAGGTTGTTTCCAGGTTCTGGCTATTACAAACAATGCTGCTATAAACATAGTAGAGCATATACTTTTGTTGTGTGATAAGGCCTCTCTTGGGTATATTCCCAAGAGTGGTATTGCTGGGTCCATGGGTAGGTTGATCCCAAATTTCCTGAGAAACCTCCACACTGCTTTCCAGAGTGGTTGCACAAGTTTGCATTCCCACCAGCAATGGATGAGTGTACCCCTTTCTCCACAACCTCTCCAGCAAAGGCTATCATTGGTGTTTTTGATTTTCGCCATTCTGACAGGTGTAAGATGGTATCTTAAAGTTGTCTTGATTTGCATTTCCCTGATCGCTAAGGAAGTTGAGCATGACCTTAGGTGTCTTTTGGCCATTTGAACTTCTTCTGTTGAGAGATCTCTGTTCAACTCAGTGCCCCATTTTATAATTGGGTTGATTAGCCTTTTACGGTCTAGTTTCTTGAGTTCTTTATATATTTTGGAGATCAGACCTTTGTCAGTTGTGGGGTTGGTGAAGATCTTCTCCCAGTCAGTGGGTTGCCTTTCTGTCTTAGCGACAGTGTCCTTTGCTTTACAGAAGCTTCTCAGTCTCAGGAGGTCCCATTTATTCAATGAGGCCCTTACTGTCTGTGCTGCTGGGGTTATACGTAGGAAGTGGTCTCCTGTGCCCACGTGTTCTAGAGTACTTCCCACTTTCTCTTCAATCAGGTTCAGTGTGTTTGGACTGATATTGAGGTCTTTCACCCACTTGGACTTGAGTTTTGTGCATGGTGATAGATATGGGTCTATTTTCATTCTTCTACAGATTGACATCCAGTTTTGCCAGCACAATTTGTTGAAGATGCTCTCTTTTTTCCATTGTATACTTTTAGCTCCTTTATCGAAAATCAGGTGTTCATATGTTTGTGGGTTAAAGTCAGGGTCTTCTATTCGATTCCATTGGTCGACTTCTCTGTTTTTATGCCAATACCAAGCTGTTTTCAATACTGTAGCTCTGTAATAGAGTTTGAAGTCAGGGATGGTAATGCCTCCAGACGTTCCTTTATTGTATAAGATTGTTTTGGCTATCCTGGGTTTTTTGTTTTTCCATATAAAGTTGATTATTGTCTTCTCCAGATCTGTGAAGAATTTTGATGGGATTTTGATGGGGATTGCATTGAATCTATAGATTGCTTTTGGTAGAATTGCCATTTTTACTATGTTGATCCTCCCAATCCAAGAGCAAGGGAGATCCTTCCATTTTCTGGTGTCCTCTTCTATTTCTTTCTTCAAAGACTTGAAGTTCTTGTCAAATAGATCTTTCACTTCCTTGGTCAGGGTTACCCCAAGATATTTTATGCTCTTTGTGGCTATCGTGAAAGGTGATGCTTCTGTGATTTCCCTCTCTGTTTCCTTATCCTTAGTGTATAGGAAGGCAACTGATTTTTTGGAGTTGATCTTGTATCCAGCCACGCTACTAAAGGTGTTTATCAGCTGTAGGAGTTCTTTGGTAGAATTTTTGGGGTCGCTTATGTATACTATCATGTCATCTGCAAATAACGAAAGCTTAACTTCTTCCTTTCCAATACGAATCCCCTTGATCCCCTTATGTTGTCTTATTGCTATTGCTAGAACTTCAAGCACTATATTGAAGAGGTATGGAGAGAGTGGACATCCTTGTCTTGTTCCTGATTTTAGTGGGATGGCTTTGAGTTTTTCTCCATTTAATTTAATGTTAGCTGTCGGTTTGCTGTAGATAGCTTTTATTATATTTAGGTATGACCCTTGTATCCCTATTCTCTCCAAGACCTTTATCATAAAGGGGTGTTGAATTTTGTCGAATGCTTTTTCCGCATCTAATGAAATGATCATATGGTTTTTTTCTTTCAGTCTATTTATATGGTGGATTACATTGATAGATTTGCGTATGTTGAACCAGCCCTGCATCTCTGGGATGAAGCCTACTTGATCATAATGGATAATTTTTCTGATGTGTTCTTGAATTCGGTTTGCCAGTATTTTATTGAGAATTTTTGCGTCGATATTCATGAGTGAGATAGGCCTGTAATTCTCTTTCTTGGTTGGGTCTTTGTGTGGTTTTGGTATCAGGGT